GTGGCTCGCGTTATTTTATTAGAACGCGCGTTATTTGTTTTCCGTGCCTTTCTGAATACAGACACCAACCCATCCCTGCACTTCACATCCCCTGCACAGCCTGGAACATAACATTTATTTCCATGATCTGCCATTTTCGCTGTTGTCCTCGCTTGTTTCTTCACAAAACCTGCAGAGCTTCTGATGATTCAGCTGTGCAGGTCCGGCTGGCGGCTGGCATAGAACATGGGCGAGTATATGCAAATGTCGGGGGTGTAACTATTAGTGATCCCAACTGTAACGTCACAGTCGGTGACACAATTGTCTTCTACATTGATAATAATCCAAATGTTTCTTGAGCAGCAAATCATATTAGAATGATTTCTGAAGGATCATGTGACACTGAAGACTGGAGTAATGATTCTGAAAATTCAGCTTTGCGTCACAGGAATAAATTACATCCCAAAATATAATCAAATAGAAAACAGTTATTTTAAATTGCAAAAATATTTCACAATTTGAATGCTTTCACTGTATTTTCTGATCAAATAAATGCAGCCTTGGTGAGCAGAAGAGACTTCTTTGAAAAACATTTTAAAAAATCTTACAGACCCCAAACTTTTGAACGATAATGTACACATTAAATGCTGAAGTGCAACTAAAATATGAAATGTAGAAGTAGAAGTTAATTAAGAGGAAACACCTGTCATTAGTTACCTGATCTCGGCTGTAGGTCAGTCAGGTGAAGAGCATCAAGAGGCCTGAAAACAGGAAGAAAGATGATCAGAAATGTGTTTACTTCAGTTTAGTCACACACACAAATCACAGATTAATCACAGCAACAGTCCAACACATCTCTGATTCCCACACTGATCACTCATCCTGCTGCGTCTGTGATCATTCAGTTGGACCGTCACACTCGTATTCACTCCCGTCAGTCTGTCAAACACATCTGCTCCCGTCACTGAGGCACAAGATCCCATTTCTTCATTACATGGACTGATAAATACAGCATCACTCCATCACGTCCTCAAAACTCTTTTGTTTTCTCATTGAGTAAATATTGAAGTGTATTATCAAAAGATTCCATATTTATATTTGGTTTTGTTTTATTTTTATATTTATATTCCTTCTTTATATATTGTCCTTAGTTCACAGTAGTGCTCAATTTCATTAGCAGATGTAAAAATCTACAAATTTCAATCTTAACCAAACTATAACTATAATTTTTTGGAAGAAGAAAACAGACTGGATTTTTTTCTAAAATGTTTGTTGTTAAAGTAATGATTCTTAAAACAACATAAATATAAACTTAACTGAAAAATATAAAAAAAATTACATATATTTCAATATTACACAATTTAATATTACATGAATTCAATATTTATTAAAAAAAATGTAATATTATACAGGGGATGTTTAAAGGTCTGGGTGCAGAAGAAAGAAATATATAAACCTATAATATATAACATTTGTTTACAATATTTCAAATGAATAAATAAATGTAAATAATCAATAATACATGTATACATATGTATATATTAGTGCTATCAAGCGATTAATCGCAACCAAAATAA